CCTGAGTTTAAACCTTTCTTGTTTTACAAAAGGCTTAAGCGTTATATAACACCACATTTGTCCAGATCATCGCCAATACCTGTTATTGGCAAATCTAATGGAATTGCCTAATTATTTTAATTGACATCCTCAAGGCAAAGCAGTTTGTTGGGTGTGGTGTTACAGAATTCGTTGCCCGAGACACTCACCTGCAGGGGTAGGATGTTTACCAGTAGATGGTAGTACAGTCAGTAGGCTAATGACCGGTCTGTAGACACTTTTGAGCATGTTTTAGAGCTTTAGTGCCCTTGTAAATATGTGGGGTTCTCCAACTACAAAACTACTCAAAATTAATTTGACCAAACATCTTCTGCAGCAGGAAGCCTGTCACTCGGTGAGACTTTTCCATCTAACTATCATGAGCAGAATGTTGGATGTGACACGACAGTCATGGACGTAACTTTAAATGACCCAATCTTTCATCACGGTGCTGAGTTCTGCCAACTAAACGTTAATCTCATCTGCTTAGCTACTGTAGAGGCTGGCGGAGCCGAACACTGAGCACAACACGAGATTAAGTCTTGAGCACATGGAGGTGTGATCACTCTCGTGTACTCGCTGCGTGCTATTTCTTCGCAGCCCGATTTCCTTACCCTCAAAACCACCGCCACCCATCCACCCACACACCCACCACCATCTGCGTCACTCATCAACAAAGCCTGCTGCTACGGGGGCCTGGTGGCTGGGGGTCACCCCTAGAGACACGTAGGGACTAAATTAATCATCGGAACAGCGTCTTCAGGTTTGTGCATAGTCACTTAAGGAATCGCATGAAATCACTCTGCACAGTACAGTATAATGATGTTATATAACGTGTCCGAATGCATTGTTGACAAATGTGGTGTATTTAGAACGAGAACGACCGTTGTGGAGGTATAGGGCAAACAGATTCGTGAACCATAGCCCCTCGAGGATTTAACATGTTTTATATAGTCATGCATATAATTAGCTCTAATGACTAATTGAATCCCTTGGTACTACTTAATGATTCATGGGTTTTTTTTGAAAGATAGTGAACAATTCGTTATTTTCACTGGTAACCAAAGCGTACTTCAATCCAGCCCCTTCTGACTATTGAAGTGAATTCCATACTCCCACCCAGGGCTTAACTCCAGCCAAGTCTGTACGGATTGGTGACCCTTCGCACCCGGCACACCACATCAGGTGTACCATTCGCTATGGCTGTGGCTACTCGTCATCTGCCTGTAAAATTATAGTTGTTGCTCTCCATCAACATAAGCCATACAAAGATGAAGACCTGCCTATTCCAGTCTACCAGAGACACGGGGGATACTCAGTGAGAAGACAATTCGCGCTCCCACCCATCACACACCATGGAGTCTAACGCAATCGCTCATCGACCACAAGTTACTGAGAAGTCACACGATGTACACGTTCCAGAGTTATCCCAGATCAACTGCACTGTATTTGGGTTCGGCAATGCTAGACGTTGAAGGGACACACCCTAACCATGTGCCTGCTGCATGCAACTGATGCTTCGTTTGTCACTAGCTAGCCAGTGAACATTGGTGCTGGTTATGCATTGACACGTGTCATGCACGTATAATCCACCAGGTCAGTGGCTTGATAAACTGTCAATAATGTTAATAATTAACTCCTGACTAAAGACGCTGACTTTACGACACCAGAAAGGCAAACCAAGTCTACAGGATGTAACAATAATCCTTTGCACTACAGGGCTGACTGTGTGGCCCAATTTAGTTCCGTGCTCATGTCTGGTTTGTGTATCTGCCTCTCTCATTCAATTTATGTATTCACTTGATGTAGAATGTGAACGTCAGCAATTCTCTATTTGAGTTGACCATGCCTTAATAATACTCAAGAGTTGAAGGGTTTGACTGCTTGCATGAACAATTGGGTGACACGTATCTCTCGTTTTTGCTCTTTGCCAGTCGTGGACATTTTACACTCATCTCGCAGAGGGAAAGAGTTTTTCCATGGAATGAATGACCCTGTTCAATTGCCACAAAGTGGAAATTTTAATTTGCCCAGGAATGTAATGGAATGCAGTCTGGTTAATATTGGTGGGTACGCGAATAACGCGTTACATAACAAGACACGAACACGCAATCGGCACGTTTAATGCAGTTCGTGATGATTAATAAACATCCACCCAGATCCACTACATTGTCACAATTCAAGGGTGACGATTCGATCACAGGATTGCTTTGAATAGCTGAATCGCTACATAGTGATCGCGCTGAGAGTGATGACTCCGTATGGCCGCCAATGGAGAGAAACGATAGTATTAGAGATTCGGTTTTAAGTGATTTAGCCATATTCAAGCTCCTGTGTAAGACGGCGCCTAACGTTATCATGGGGGGTGGGTTAATATAGACATTAGAAGTGCAGCTCTGCAATTTATAACTAAACTAAAAATTTTTTACCATGTAAGACCCACTCAGCTATATAGCTCTTTTTCTAGAAGCGACCTGGCCACATATGATAGCTCAACGAAGTGGCTTATCGCGTGGAAATTTATAGAAGCCAAATACTCAACTACTCGTGATCTGATCCCTTCTGTGAAGGACAATATTCCTGACATGCAATACCCCGGCGTCTACAAACTAAGCTGTATATGTGGCAGCAGTTACATTGGGGAAACTAAGCGACATGTCTCGGACCGTGTTCGTGAGCATAAGGCAGATTTGAACACGGTAGGACCAACACTTCTGCTCACACGAAATTGATTTCTCTAATACGATGATACTTTGCAAGCCTACTGGCTATCAACAAAGATTCGTTCACGAAGCCATCCATAAATACAGACACAGAGACAATTTCAACCGAGATGAAGGTGTTAGACTCAGCAATCATTGCAAAGATGTCATCAACCACTTTGGGTCATGACTTGACTTGTGTGTTCTTGTCAATCAACCTCCACCGTCAGCAGTGTGGGGTGTGGAGCGGGGTGCAGGGATTTCCTGGCGGCCCTTTGATGCATTGGCATTGCTGCTGCATTGGCATTGCTGCTGCATTGGCATTGCTGCTGCATTGGCATTGTTGCTGCATTGGCATTGCCGCTGCATTGGCATTGTTGCTGCATTGGCATTGCTGCTGCATTGTCATTGTTGCTGCATTGTCATTGCTGCTGCATTGGCATTGCTGCTGCATTGGCATTGCTGCTGCATTGGCATTGCCGCTGCATTGGCATTGTTGCTGCATTGGCATTGTTACTGCATTGGCATTGCTGCTGCATTGGCGTTGCTGCTGCATTGGCATTGTTACTGCATTGGCATTGTTACTGCATTGGCATTGCCGCTGCATTGGCGTTGCTGCTGCATTGGCATTGTTACTGCATTGGCATTGTTACTGCATTGGCATTGCCGCTGCATTGGCATTGTTGCTGCATTGGCATTGTTACTGCATTGGCATTGCTGCTGCATTGGCGTTGCTGCTGCCCCAAAACTTTATAAACAGTTTGTCTTTAGAGGCTGACTCCTTTACCTGATGACGACCGCTTGTGCTGCGATCGAAACGTCGTGATAGTTTTATTAATTTTTTTCTACCTACGTGACTTTACCGAAAGAACCAAAGAATACTCTAAACGCGTGCCGTTGATTTTCAATGTGGAGGGAAAAACCGGAGCACCTGGAGAGAAAATCCACGCGACCACGGGGAGAGAGGGACACACAAACTCCAAATATACAGCAGCAGCAGGCGTCAGGGTCGGGATCGAAGCCACGACTTCCTGCATACCTGGCGAGGTAGTTAACATATCCTAGCCACCGTGATGATGATGAGAGAAAGACGCAAACTCCAAATATACAGCAGCAGCAGGCGTCAGGGTCGGGATTGAACCCACGACCTCCTGTACACCAGGCGAGGTAGTCAACATCTCCTAGCCACCGTGATGATGATGATGATGATGAGAGAGACACGCAAACTCCAAATATACAGCAGCAGCAGGCGTCAGGGTCGGGATCGAACCCACGACCTCCTGTACACCAGGCGAGGTAGTCAACATCTCGGCATGAGGGTGGCGGTGAGTTGGCCTACTCTTCCACACTGGGAAGGTGTTTCGCTTCGGTTGCGCGAATTAAGCGGTCGTCTCCTCCATGGAGCCCAAGGCTCACACACACATAAGCGCACACAAAAACAAAGCTGTTTTTGTTTAGAACACTGAGCTTAACATGTTCAATTAACGTCGTGAGAATTGTTTTATTATGTTTTATTTTTATTATTTTATTACTTCCCTTCTACGTGACTTTACCGAAAGAAACAAGAAGATGTTCAATTGAAATTAGTATGCTTTGTTGCATTGATTGAACCATCTCTTGTTTAAAAAAAATATTTTTATTTGGTCTGGTTTTCATATAAACTCTCTTGGGTTTCCAACCTCACCTGCACCACTTTTTTTTTACTTTGTGTGCTTTTTATTTATTTGCACCGTTCGTCTTTTGCTTTGTCTCTTTTTTAAAAATTTGTGTGTGCGAATAAATACATTTAAAAAAATCAAGTCCAACGTTCCGTTAGCGGCCTAACGAACGACGGCCGTTTTGATAATTGGTTTTTTACCCTTTTATCTGGCAACAAAAACTGACACCTTTTTTACGAAGAGTCATGTTTGCATAGACCACAATACCTGCAGTCATAATGCAAAAAAAAAAAAGGACAGTGCATACATTATCAAAGTTATCTTTTTTGTTTGCATTATGACTGCAGGTAGCGTGGTCTATGCAAACATGACTCCTCGTAAAAAAAGGTGTCAGTTTTTGTTGCCAGATAAAAGGGTAAAAAAACAATTATCATTTTTTTACTGGCAAACGAGGTACCAATGGTGACTGCCGTTTTGCTTCAAGAGAGGTGGGGGGGATGGGGGAATGGGGGACAGGGCACACGGGAGAATGGGGGGGGGCTGGGCGTGGCTTCGCGGCGAGAGGCGTGGCTTACGAGTGTGGGCGGGGCGAGCCCTGCAAGGGGGTGGGGGTGGTGGGGGGGGCCGTTGCTGCTCCTCGCGCTCGCAGTTGAAGGCGAAGCGCGGCTCGCGGTGCCCTCGCGAAACTCTCTCCTCGTCACTTGCTGCTGCTGCACCCTCCCGCCAACTAAAGTCGTCCACTCTCCATCCTCATCCATCCTCCTCGTCTCGTGCAGCCGTCACCTCGTGGACTCGACCCCACGTGCCCTCGGCGTTGGCGCTTCGACTCGACCCAGAGACGCGCCGTTCGGGTGAGTGAGTTCGCGTCGCGCGAAGCTTCCTTTGAAGACAAATGAGACACGGCGGCTCAATGATGGGCGCTGCGGAGTGAGTGGGTGAGTGAGTTGGTGGGTCAGTGAGTGGGTGAGTGAGTGGGTGGGTGAGTTGGTGGGTCAGTGAGTGGGTGAATGAGTGAGTGAGTGGGTGAGTGAGTGGGTGGGTGAGTGGGTGAGTGAGTGGGTGAGTCAGTGGGTGAATGCATGAGTGAGTGAGTGGGTGAGTGAGTGAGTGGGTGAGTAGTGGGTGAGTGGGTGAGTGAGTGGGTGAGTGAGTGGGTGGGTGAGTGGGTGAGTGAGTGGGTGAGTCAGTGGGTGAATGCATGAGTGAGTGAGTGGGTGAGTGAGTGGGTGAGTGAGTGGGTTGGTGAGTGAGTGGGTGGGTAAGTGGATGGGTGAGTGTGTGGGTGAGTGAGTGACTGGGTGAGTGAGTGCATGGGTGAGTGAGTGGGTGAGTGAGTGGGTGAGTGAGTGGGTGGGTGAGTGAGTGAGTGGGTGAGTGAGTAAGTAAGTGAGTGGGTGAGTAAGTGAGTGGGTGAGTGAGTGGGTGAGTAAGTAAGTGGGTAAGTGAGTGGGTGAGTGAGTGAGTAAGTGAGTGGGTGAGTAAGTGAGTGAATGAGTGAGTGGGTGGGTGAGTGAGTGAGTGGGTGAGTAAGTAAGTGAGTGGGTGAGTGAGTGAGTGAATGAGTGAGTGGGGAGTGAGTGGGTGAGTAAGTGAGTGAGTAAGTGAGTGGGTGAGTGAGTGGGTGAGTGAGTGCCGGGCGAGGGGGTTTGTTGTTCCATCTCGAGCCAAGAGTGTTCGTTGCGAAAGCTTCGTTTTGGAGCGAGGGAGAAACGAACAGCGACTGAAGTAGTTGGAAGGCGACAGGCGGCCACGCGGGTTCTCGACGTGATGATATTCACGCCGGCTGGAGGAGCCAAGCTCGCCCCGGTGCTGATATAACAAAAAATTTACCCGTAAAAACAAAGTTTTCACTATAAATCCTTTATATGCGTGGCGGCTAGAGTTATCTCGTCCTCTGGCTTGAGATGGCTGCCACCTATGGGTCAGATGATTGCCTGCCACCATTAAGCAATTGGTAATTAAACATAATTTATTTTTTCCTAAAAAGTGTAAAATTTTGGAAAAAAAATTTCCACGAAAATAAATTGTCACGCACAACGAGTCTGTGTGCAAAATGTCAGCTCGATTGGATCACGGGAAGTGGGTTAAAAAATCGACCGAAAGATTTGCACGGTCGTAAGCGCGCAAGCAAGTGAACTTAATATAAAGGATTTAAAAATAAGTGTTTACTTTGTCAGGAATGAGGCTTCACATTCGTTTATAACGGTGCCGAGGCTCTCACAGCCTGGGTCGGTATCTACAAGACATGAGACGTTTGTTTGTGGTTTACAGATATAAGTAGAACATGTGCGCCTTTAACCCTATTTGTAATTACACTTTTAGTTCGTTGAGTATTTTTTTCTTAAAATGTATTTATAATATAATTGTTATGATGAGTGTCTGCTGCTGCTTCTGCTGTGTCCATGGTACCAGCACTTTGAGGTTCCAGATGAAAAGCGGCTATATAAATAATATTATTATACACACTCTGGGAGCAGTACTCCGTTTTTACGGTTCATAAAACGAGTGCATCCCTTGTGATTATTGTAAAACCCCATTGGCAGCTGACTGCTGGATTGGAGACCAACTCACGACCTCTCACGACACACCACCACCCAACAGGGCCGTGTGGGTCATTGCCAGGGTGGAGGGAGCGGTGGTGCAGCGGTTCGCGCGCTGCGCCACGATTATTCGAATCGGTTCTGGGCCTCCCCTAAGTCGACTCCGACTTAAATGAGTACCTGGTGCGGGGAGACAAAGGCGCTCGGGCGTTGTTGCTGGCCACCCCACCGTGTGTCGTGGCCGACTTGAGTAGGCGCTCGCGAACAGCACTTGCCCCAACAGAATGTTAAGACAATACGGGGGACAATAGTTGTCGTTGGGATGTTTGACCATACTTCACCACGCTCGTCAACACTGTAATTCAGTACTGTACTCGGCTTGGACTTTCAGGAGAGACCAGGGGTCTCTTCTACCCCTTAGAACAGATGCCAAAGTCGAGGTTACCGAGAAGAGGCATAGACTCGCATTTCAATGATTCGATTTTTGTCCAGTTTTTACCCATCCTATTTGTGTTTCTTGTTATGTTTCGTGATTTATTTGTAGATATTTGTCCACTCCGGTGGGATAAATGTAACAATTTGGTGGTGTCTGCTTGTTGGGTACGGTCGTGGCTATTATAATGCTGCTGTTTGTGTTATTGTTTGAGTTGTGGTTATGTAGCAGTCATGGTTGTGCTTATATAGCAGTCATGGTTGTGCTTATATTGTGACTAAAGTTGGAAAATAGTTGTATGCCTGTTGCTAATATTTATACACGCGGAGTTGATGATACCGAATTTAGATGATCATGTTGATGTCGATTGAAAGTTTGGCAAGTGTGTGTCTTGGGCGGTGCTGTTTGCTCTATCAATGTCGCTCCAGGCACACTCAGTGCAAGTCCTCACTCTTGTATATGTGTTCGTGATATTTCCCAGGGCTAACAGTCAGACTAGGGCACTTTATCATTGTATATGACCAACAACCACACAGAGACAAAGAGCCCAGGTATTGTACACATCCTCCAAAGTGACCAACGTGTAGACACCCATGGTTGTTAAGTGCAGTCTCCAACTCATATCCACTCTATATCTGGTCTTGTTATTGATGTGCAATGAAGAAGGGCCATATGCCAAAACATCGCCTATTATAGGCTTTTCCTTTTTTAAGGCTACAGCGTTATTGACAAATGTGTTCAGTGTTTTTGTTCACGTGTAGACGAAGGCATTGTTAGGATTCTCAGGAATCTCTGCTGTTGCTCAAAGCTCACAGAGCCAGACGTAAGGCATCTTGAGCATTCTTAGGGCTCAGTGTTCACGCACCAGGCGCGGAATTCTGAGGTCTCGCTATCGGACACAATTTATAATGTGGAGATTTGCTGTTTCAGGTTGTTAGGGCCTCCGCTGCGAGAGATTAACAACTCCGCTGGAAGATAGAAAGTGGTGAAATAAACTTCAAGTAGACAACAACGACGGGGTATCAGCATCCGATGGATTTTGAACAAAATTATATTTGAATTTAATTCGCACTGTTTTTGAAAATAATTTTTATGTCTAAGTTTATTTGACCGCTCGCTTTATTCCAGTGGAGTTGTACATCTTTTGCAGTGAACGCTGCAGTAAAACTCCACGTTATAAACTGCGTCTGATAGATTTGACTGGCATATTGGAAGTGCCTCTCTGTTGTGTGCACTGTGTATAATGTTTATTTTTCTCATATCTCTCGTGTCTCTAAGGCATCTAGTGTCTTTGGTGTTTCTTTTGTGTATTTCCTGTGACAAGTGAATATCTCTGGTGTCTGTCATAGGGATGCTAATGATGCATCAGTTAATTAATGTGGATTCTTAAGGCGCATGATGCGTATATGGGATCACATTCGTCAGGATTGATGTTTTTTTAATTTAGCAAATTAAACACATGGTACGCTCATGGTCCATTTAGGTTGATGGAGCGAAGAAACAACCGCAAAAAACGAAACCAACAACATGTTTAAAATACAGACAAGACGCTAAAAACGATTCAAGCAGAATATAATCATGAATCAAATCCCAGTTATTAATTGTGATCATTTGTCAAATTGATGAGCGTGTAGGAAGGGGTGGTTAATTATTTTCCTTTAGCCTATACAGCTGTGCCGAGAGTGTCTTGTGAATGCAGTCCCACTACCTAAAAACTAAACTACTTTTTTATTTTCCCAGGTAAGCCCCACTGAGCTATATAGCTCCTGTATACCGGGCGAGGTAGTTAACATCTTGCCATCTGTACAGTGTCCCGTGTACATCTCGCCTTCGCAGTGTGTGAAGTGTCATTAGTGACTGGTCTCTTGTGTGTGTGGTATTTATAGTGTCTGCAGTGTCTCTGGTGCATGCAGTGTATCTATTGAAGTGTTGTGAGGAGCGGTAGCTTAGTGGTTAGCGCAATGTGCTATGATCCGGGTTACCCGAGTTCGATTCCTACTCTTGGCCAATGCGAGTGGTGAATATCTGAACTGGTCTTGGACCTCCCCTAGGTCGGCTCTGCCTGAAATGAGTACCTGGTTTGGTATATGAACCTTATGGCGGGACCCCGGGGTCCCATAAGCCCCTGGCTCTCGCATAAACATTACATTATGTCAACAAAAACTTTGCTCTTTTTCACCAATGGGTTTGAAGGATGGTGGCACTTGTTGTCTTGTTAAACTATGCCTTTAAAACTGAAAACTACTAACCTGCAGTACCTCTATTTAAATACACTATCAAAAAATAATTTACACCCCTCTGTCAATCATCATGTTTCTCAGTGTGGATTTGTGAACACACTTTGTGTACAGTACATAAAATAGAAAGCGTTTTCAATGCGCTGTTCATATTGTAACAAGCGTTTATACCAATGTTACTCTACAGAGTAGTGGGTCGCCGCTCCTCTTATCTGCAATGATACGAGCGGTATGTGGGGACTACGGCTTAACCACAAAAAACAACCTATCTGCACAGATGCATACGAACAAGAGAAGTATTATCAAACAGGAGGAATTAACGGTGCAACGCATCTCATCTGTTAAATATCTGCAGGGAATAGGATTGTCATCGATTGATCCTGGCTGCAGACATTGGTAGGTCACAAATAATAATGAAGATAAGAGAGCAGTTTCACTGTGTTATGCAAACCGTAATGACAAATAAAGGACTTGAGTCGTGTCGGCAGTTTGAGCAGCTTTGAATAAGACTTATGATCCTGCCCATACCCGAACATGGAGTGCAGTCGCTTGCTCAGCTTTAATTCGCATTGGTAATCCTCGCTGCTGCGCTTGGGCGACAACCGAATGATCCGCACCAGGCGGGTCGAGGCGTTCATGTG